CATCAATTGAAGAAAACGGATATTTGCATTTAAACAAAAATATAATGTTATTTTCATCGAGCATATCCTAGAATATTCTCATATATTTCTTATGTTCACATTAAATTGTATTTATAGTTAACAGCATGCTGATAATCTTTGTTTTCTGGGGTTATATATGCTCTTCAGTAATCTGATATTATTATTGTATTTAATTTAACCCATTGCTTTATTTATATGTCTAGTAATGTGACTGCTAATCGATTTTCAACATAATAAATACATAGTAAATTATCTAGGAGTTGTGACTCCAATTCATCTATGTAACTTATTGTTACACATTCCTGATACCGCTCTTTCAAATACTGTTACTGTTCAAAATACTAATATTTAAATTTTTGCCTCCATTCATATTAAAAGTTACTGTTCAAATACTGTTACTGTTCAAATACTAATATTTAAATTTTTGCCTCCATTCATGTTAAAAATTATCATTTCATGAAGGCTATAATTAGAAATCGCTTTGAATTTATGATTTTGTAAATTATATAAATTTATGTAAATCCTAACAATCATTCGGGGAGAAGTTTATGTATTGCTACAATAATGATTATGTAACGTTCATAAAATATCCAGGTGGTAAATCTCATATTACTGATTAACATAAAATTCGGTGAATATTTTCTCTAAAGTATTATCAAAAACCTTTAAAATCTTTCAAGTGTGATTTTCATTGCATAATTGATCGTGAGTTCTTCTAAAATATTTAACGATCTGATACTTTTCTTGTGGGAATTTCTTCGTCGATGTTCTGTTATAGCAATCTTCTGTTAATGAAACCATAAATGAAATGCATGTCAGCATAGTCTCGATTTGAAGATACTCGCGACATGTTGATACGAAATCGTACAACTTACTAATCATTATTGATGTCAATACGAACGACATCATTATATTATATCTATCCTAAAACGACATCTCTAAAACACACTTTAGTATAACGAGATTAAATAAATAAATATCGCTAGTCTGTTTTCTTATCCTTTTTATCCAACCTTTTTATCCAAAAATCAAATCCGCTGTTAAGTACTTTTATTATAATATTTTTGAGCCTATGCTTCTATTGACGTTTCTCTCTTCTTTTCACTTCAAGGATACACATCGTTTTGCAGAAATAAGAAATAAGAATATTTACCCTGTACATATACAATATTTAATTTTGTACAAAATATTATGCTTGTAATGATAATTTTTGCAAATTAAACTTCTATATGTATGTTTGAAGTATTTAATATTTAAAGAATTAAACAATTTTACTTCAGATTTTAAATTAATTGTTATGTATAAATTTTCCAATAAAATAAACTTCATTTTCTGATACTTTATGTCTCCGGAAAATTTCAATTTATTTATCCAAAAGTATATTTTTATCTAGACATTAAGTCGATATAATCTAAGATCAAACGCATCATACTTTTTTTTAAACAAGATATATAAAACTGGAATATATTTCCAACACTAAAGTTAAAAATTAAAATTCATTAATTAATCTTATCAAACATACCTGTTGTGAAAAAAATCACTAATTCACTTTTATGCATAATCAATATAATTTGTTAGTAACTGAGATTTTACAAAGACTTTGATTTATATTAATATAAGATAATATTAATAATATTAATAAAGATAATATAGATAAAATAATAAAGATAATTAATAAAGATAATATTAATAAAGATAATGTTCATTGTCGGAAAGAATTTTATAAATTCCATAAATTGTTAAAATATTGTATAATCAAATATAGATTTCATATTAAATACAATATTAGTTATTTCATCAAAAAAACTTGTATACTTTAATTACTGAATTGAAAGAAAGTAATAGTTCCACAGACACATACATTAGCAAACTCTTAATTATTGAAGATCTGCATATACTTTTTAACTTACCGATAACTTTTTTAATAATTATCAACCAAAAGTCTCATTTTATATGTAATAAACGCTATCTCTGCATTTTTGTTATCAAAAAAAAAAAAAAGTACTGTCAATTTATTCGATTACCACGAATCTTTCGATAAACAACAATACAATAGGCTGAAAATAAAAATTCGTATCTTTTATGATTTTCTAGAATTTTCTAGAACAAAGAACATATCAATAATAATCACTAGAATAAAAAGAAAAATTTTACTTTGCTTTTCAACAAACGAATGACCGAACCGAATTTTCTAAAAAATAAATGAACGAAACATTATATAATGATATAGATATATCTCACAGAAAAATTATTTCAAATGTAAAAAAAAAAATTATAAAGTATGTACTACTAAAAGCATTTCAGATGTTGTGTATTCCGTGCATATAACATCAAAATGATATTAGAGTGATGACATTAGAATTATAATAACTACAATGTACTTTATGCTAAGTAGAATTTAAATAGGAAAAAAATATCCAGAAATGCAAGTTGTTTAGAAATTTAAATCATTAAAATTTCTAACAAAATTCTAATTTTTTATATTTTTATTATTATTTTCTAATTCTTTTTGGACTTTAGACTCTAGACTTTTAATAAATATTTGACATAATTATAAAATATCAATGTTTTATACTTTCATGTAAACTATCATACTTGTCCAATACGTCCAATAATCGTATATAAATATAGTATATTGAAAAAAAGAAAAGACTAATTACTAATAGGATCTGTTGGTAACAGTAGGTTTAGTAAAAGATTAATTAGTAATACCTATTGTATAAATTATCCGAAGTGTATCGTTGTTTCTGTTAAAACTATTAAAAATTTTGTTTGATCATCTATTAAATTAGTATTTCTGGGGAAGATTCATAGACCTGAAAGATGAAAGAACGGAGGAAAGAGTCATAATTTCGGTGTATTATACTTACATTGTTGCTTATGCCTGGATTCCATAAGGATCATTTGTTCGTGTTTGTGCCATGCAGCATCAGTAGTGTCTGTTCCCGCCATACCCCTTGCACCTGCGGAGGGTGGTTGGACACCCCCACGGCCCCCACCGCCTCCGCCCCCGCCGCTTCCATACTCCATACCAGCGGCACCCTTACCCTTCCCTCCCGCCCTTTCACTTCTGCCCCCGGCAGTCTTCAGACGCTCACAACATGGGGCACGCCAGCCCTCTCAATACCGCTTCAGAACGCGCACTCTTTCCCTCTTTCCCTTCTTCACCGCACGCT